GCCAAAAGGAGGTACAAGACGGTAGACACTTCAGTGCCTGTCCTAGTAAGTCAGGAAGAAGGTGTATACTTCGAACAGGAAAGAGAGCTGATACAACGAATGAGGGAAGGCATTCAGAATGAGCCTTGTTGCATCAACGAAGAGACTGAGAGATAATTGATAATAAGAGAACCTGAATTTTTGACGAGGTAAGAGGAGGACTTGGTAAAAAAACCGATACGCGAAGAACATGGGGCGTATGCCTTTAACGATGATCAACGTGGGAGGTTGGATGTGGACAAGATCGAGATGATCCGCATTCATACCGTACCTCATGAACCATGAAATGTCCGAGGAGCTAAGTACACCACCCCGAAGATCGCAGGAAGGTGGTAGAGTACCTAGATGGAAAAATCCGTACGGATGTTGCTGGGTACTCCAGTGGACCATATGCCTCTCCCTGATTTTGTTTTGTGAAACCGAACGGAGTACTCAGATGGGTACAAGACCTCCAACGGTTGAACGCGGTAACCATGAGGGACGCTGGGGAATTGCCTAATGCTGATTTACTATCAGAATCCTGCGCGGGGAGATCGATTGTATCACTTATCGATCTCTACTCAGGGTATGATCAATTCCCGGTCTATCCTGCAGACCGTCCCATCACGGTAATGCACACGCCTAGAGGATTAGTCTATATGAACGTTGCACCCCAAAGATGGACCAACGCTGTGGCCATGGTACAACGAAGTATGATCAGGGTAATGCAGCCAATCAACCCTCAAATCATCGAGCCATACATTGACGATCTTGCCGTCAAGGGCCCTATTGAGAAGGATGAGTCGGAAGTGGCTCCTGGGGTAAGAAGGTTTGTATGAGAGCATGTTCAAGGATTGAGAGAAGTTCTAACGTTCTTAAAACAGTACAACCTCACTGCCAGTGGTGTGAAGTTAAGACATTGCGTAAAGGAGGTAACCATTCTGGGGTACATTTGCAACGAACATGGTCGAAGGCCTTATAGGACGAAGACTAACAAGATCCTGGAATGACCCACTCCCTTTAGGAATGTGGGAGAGGTTCGAAGCTTCCTTGGTACCTGTGGGTTCTGGAGAAGGTTCATAGAAAGATTTGCTAGCAAAACAGAGCATCTAAGGAAGCTAGTCCGAAAGGATAAAAAATGGGAATGGGGAAACAATCAAGAAGAAGTGGTGGAGAAACTGAAGAAGGAATTCAGAGAAGGAGGTCTGGTATTAGGGGTACCAGACTTTGACGCAACTATGGAACGACCTTTCATAGTTGAGACTGATGTTGGGCCAACCGCCTTGGGAGACGTTTTGATTCAGGCAGACAGTGAAGGGAAGGAAAGGCCGCTAAGGTTTGAAAGTCGGACGCTTAATTCAACAGAGAAAAATTACTCACAATTCAAAAGGGAAGCCTTGACGGTCCTGCATTGCCTTAGAATCTTTAGGCATTACCTCTTTGGGAGGAAGTTTGTCCTCAGGATTGATCCTACGGCGCTGATATATTCGCTCAAGAATTTTTCGCCGTCAGACCGGACCATTGCCAGATGGCTTACCTATATCTGGATGTTTGACTTTCAATTGGAACGCGTCCCTGGGAACAAGAATAGGAACCAGGAAGAGTCCAAGGAAGAAACGCCTCCGGTAAATGGGTTTTTGGAGGAAGGAGAAAACATGCGTACACATGTGAATTGTTGGTTCATGTTCGTTGAAAGTAAGGAGATGAGGAGAGGAAATCTGATGTGGCATCCACCTCCTGAGTTTATGAGGGAACCTTCCCTGATAATCATGCCATTAGTGGAGGAGGACTTTTGGGGTGAGAGGGATGCAGAGTGGATGATGGAACTGGCTTTGGCAGAGAACTATAGGATGATGGATGAGCCGCGAACTATCAAAGCAGGAGTCCAACAGGCAGACGAGCAAGTAGCCATGATGGGGAGGATGTACTACCTAACGAATTCCCTATTGCAAGTTCAAGCGAATGATGAAAGAGGAATGGTGAAAGACGACGAGATAGTGATTGGGGATGATTACGAATTTGATGAAGAAAAGGAAGGGGAATTTGAGCAGGAAGAGATCTCAGAGGATTTCAGGAAGGAAGAATACGACGGATTTTATCTAGAAATGAGGTTGCTCCTCTCATGAGATAAAAGAGAGAGAGAAGTGAGTGAAAAAACTCTAAGGATGAGAGATCATTATGTGGTAAGAGGTGGCCACTTGTTCATCAGGGACAAGAGGGGGCCGCCGCGACGTGTCATATGTGGGAGGAATCGTCAGATTGATGTAGTGGCCGCGTTGCATGATGAGATAGTTGGGGGACATCAAAGTTTCGCGGCAACTTACAAAAAGGCGATGGAGCTCTACTACCGGGAAAGAATGTTTGAAATTACTCGGAAGTATTGTGAGTCGTGTGTACCCTGTCAAGTACGATCGCCTATCAGATACAAAGAACCTCTGCATCCTAGGTACATCAAGGAAGTAGGGGCGGTGGTTCACTTGGATCTATTAGCTATGCCGCTGTGTCTTGGAGGGTATAACTATATATTTGACGCAAGGGACAACCTTACTGGGTTCATTGATGGCTGAGCAATCACGAACAAGACCGGGGCAACGCTGGCAGATTGCATTAAGGAATACTATCTCAGATATCCGTTTGTGTTGGAATTTACGATGGACAGGGGGTCGAAATTCACATGTGGAGAAGTAAAGGAGTTACTGAGCGAGTTGGGAGTCATGGGTAACTACACGAATCGGGCTCATCCACAGACAAAAGCACCGGTCGAAAGAGGTCATAGTACGATTACTAACTTACTGGCCAAATGGACCAGTGGGAGGCCGAACCTCTGGCCAAAGTTCCTAAGAAAGGTATTCTTTTTGGAGAATATCACTGTAAGAAGGACGACTGGGTATGCACCTACGACGCTCTGGTATGGTCGCCACGCCACGTTTTCAATTGAGAGCTTTCTGAAAACTTGGCGCAGGCGGACCTGAAAAACAATTTGACTTTGGAAGAACTGCTAGATCTGAGGGCAAGGCAAATCAGCGCCACTGAAGAAAGGGTTCAAGAAGCACCTGTAAAAGTTGCAGACAGTCGGGGGAAAGATAAGAAAGGTGGGACAAACTCCCTAGAGTGCGGCTCGAGCCTCTACAAGTGTGTGAGATAGTGCTACTTTACGATTCCTCTTTGGAAATGCAGTGGTCGCGGAAACTGGACAAACGTTGGCTTGGACCGCTCAACGTAAGGAAGCAGGGACTTCATGGGGCCTACGAGCTAGAAGAGATGGATGAGACTCCAAGGAAGGACTGGGTTTCGGGGTCCAGACTAAAGAAGTTCCAAGTCAGAGAAGAGGTGAGCCCAACTATGATACAGAAAGCCTGAGTAGATTGGGAAAGTGTCTATGCATGTATGTGTGTATCAGTACCTATTCATGTACGTACCCCATTGCCTAAGTATACACTCATACATGTATATATATATATATAGAGGGTTACCTGACCGACGTTCGGGGCCCCCCGGGCTGGCCCCCGAACGTTCGGGCATTCGGGGTCCCGTTCGGGGGCCGAACACCTCCAGGTTCGGCCCCCGCCAAAAACCATTTCGGAGCCCAAAAATAAGTTTTTTTTTCTGAATTGTTTTTTATGAGTTCTCTATGATGTAAGCTACACGCCTATAAATTTTGAAGCCATTCTGCTAAGCCACGAAAACATTAAAAATCGTCAAAGATGGGGGTGTCAAAACGTGTTCGCCCACTCACTATTTTGTTTTTTTTTCACTTTTAACTTTTTATTTTCACTTTATTTCGGGGCCTAAACAAATTTATTATTTTTTAAAATAATTTTAATGAGTTATTGATTATGTAAACTAAATATGTCTAAATTTTCAGGGCATTTGTCAATGCCAAAAAATAATTAAAAATCGACAAAGATGGCGGTGTCGAAAAGGTGCTGGCACACTCACTCATTTTAATTCTCTTTTTATTTTTTCTTATTTTTATCATAGTGTTTATTTTCTGTATTTGATTTTTAATTCAAATTTGGTAAATAATTTGGATACAGTGCCCAGGCAAATGTTGTTTAGTTTATTTTTCTCTATAGCATAAGTTTTTTTCGGAATGTTTTGAAAACTGTAGTTTTTTTTTTTTTTTTTTTGGGTCCGCGTTCGGCCTTAACGGCCGAACGCCTTCCGAAGGGGTCCCGTACGTTCGGGCGTTCGGCCCGTCCCGAACGCCGACAACCCTGTATATATATATGTGTGTGTATGTATACATACATGAATGTGAAAGGTATAGTGGGAATGTACATGTGTATATACACGCAGGCATATATATATGTATATATATATATATATGTATATATATATATATGTATACATATATATATATATATATATATATGTATATATATATATATGTATACATATATATATATGTATATATATGTATATATATATGTATATATATATATGTGTGTGTGCATGTAAGTACCAGGCAAGGGAGCATTGTCAAGCTTATGTTTTAATGAGAAGTGTTGCCTTGATGGTGATCTGATCCTTATACTTGTCGTTTGCTCCTTCTCTGTGTGCAGGCGTGACCCTTGGGGAGAAGAGGCCATGGCGCAGAGAGGAGGGAGGGCAGGACCCTCTGGACCTACCTTGAGAAAGGGCGGTCAGAGGAGGGATCAGAGAATCTCAAGGAGCCTGAAGGAGTTGCCCATTTACAGAGCTGGAGACAACTTGCGAGTATTTTTATGAGATTTTGAGGAGTATGCGTTCAGAAGAGAGTGGGATGACATGAAGAAGCTCGCAAGAGTAACTGGGGCAGGAATATACAAGAAGAAGATTGAAGGAGTGGCGGCCGGATGCACGAGGTGGAGGGCATGCATGGTGAGATTGTGGAAGGACATGGGGACCTTCCCAAGGGATGAAATTGAGGATGACTTGAGGTTTGATGAAACAAATCTGGAGGATTTTATTTATAGTTTGCAGCTAGCCGCTGAAAGAGGGGAATGGAGTGAGGAAGAGAAGAAGAAACAGTTGATTGAAAGAACAGAGGGGAGTGAGGAAGGGGAAGTGAAGGGGATCGTGGAAGGGAGTCGTATCTAGCAGAGAATAACAGTGAAAATGAGAATAGCATACACCCAGGCAAGACAAGATCGGACGAGGAAGGAAAAGTTGCAGGAAAAGGGGTTGTGGATTGGAAGGGAAATGGATGAGCTGCATGAAAGGGAGGCAGATGATGAAAAGGAAGAAGACGTGCCCTTGAAAAGACTGAGGAACAAGGCAAGGGTTGTCCCCAAGAGCAGCAGCAGAGGGTCTGACCAGGCAGAGGAAGGTGAAAAGGAAGAGGGGGAGGCGGCAGCAAGGAGGAGAAGAAGCCTAGGGGCAAGCGCGGCACAGAGGGAGAGAAAGATTGAAGAGAAAAGACCGATTGAGGTTGGAAGGAAAAGGGTAGAGGAAAAAAGGAGTGAGAAGGAAGGAGGAGCAAGAAGAGAAGAGGAGACAGAAGGAGGAAAGAAGATCCGGGAGGGAGACAGGGCTCCAAGGGTCATAAGAACTAAGGAAAAGGGGCTTATTGGAGATAGAGAGGGGATGGACAGAGAGAGGGGTGAAGAAGAAGTGAGGATAAAAGGAGGCAAGGGAGTGGAAGTTGGAGTAGAAAAGAGAAAGGTGGAGCGTGGTGAGCTATCCCAATTGAGAGAGGAAGTGGAGGAAGGGCAGATGAGTAAGGAGGAAAAAGCTCAAAGAGAAAAGAAGAGGAAAGGGTGGAGGAACTACATGATCAGGATGCTGCAAAACAATGAACTGCCTGTAAACTCCACGTGGGATGTCAGGTTTGAGAGGATGCTCCTCTCAGAGCTGGTGGTAAGTTCCAAACATTCAGACAACTTGCAGAAAATGATGGGACTGCATGATATGCTGGATGAGAAGTGCACCAAGCTCTTTGAAGACTATGCTGAGATTGCCAGGAAGATGGGAGAAATGGAAGGAGGAGGTGGAATTAAGAAAATTGGAGAAGACCTGGTCACCTGGATACAGTAAGCAGAGGACTCCAGGCCGGGCTCAAAGGGAGCACTGAGCTCATCACCCAAGGGTTCTTGGACTACATCCTAGGGCTCTTGAAAGAAATGAGCAGGCTGAGAAAGAAGGAAGAAGAGAGGGATACCCAAGTGGCAAAATTGATAGAAGATATGGAAGGGGTGAAGAACGAAGTAGAAGAGTTGAAGAAGGGAAAGGCGAAACTGCTAAAACAAGTGGACACTTTGAAGGCTTCCCTGACTATGAAAGGCAAGGAATTGGAGGATGAAGCGGCTGCGAGGGGAAGGGTGGAGAAGAAGGTGGAAGGTTTGTGTTTTGAGGTCAGCATGCAAGGGCTGGACTTGGATGAGGAGATTTATGAGAGAAAGAAGTTGGGTCAGGACTTGGAAAAAAGATGGGAAGAAATACTGAAAGGGATGAAAGAGCTCAAGTTGAGCCATCAAGAGAGAGGGGATGAAGCCACAAAAGTGGTGGAATGACAGAAGGAGGGGAGGTTTGAAATCAGATTGGCAGAAGGAAGAGAAGGGGTCCCTCAGTCAAAGGAAGAAGGAGGAGGGATGGATGAGCAGACTGAGGCAGGAAAAGAAGGACCATCCAGCAAAGAGCCACAAGAAGAACCAAGAATTGATGTACCATCTGCCCCACTAGAAGACCAAGGCGAAAGCCTGGATGTGCCTCAGGCAGAAGGGCATAAAGAGGAGTGAGCAACATGACATAGAGTCATCTGAGGGGGCAGGGGGTCAGGTTGAGACGACCTCTGGCCAAGAGAGCTAGATACAACAAGGGCCCGAAAGGTTGCTTCTTCTGCATAGAGGAGGGGCATTTCAGGGATGGTTGTGTTATATTAGCTGAGTATATTAGGAGAGGGATGGTCAGACTTGACTCAAGAGGGAGACTGGTAGCTAGCAATGGGCAGGTGATCCCCAGAACACCTGAGGGTGGTAGGATGCAGTTCCATAGGATGCTGGGGTTGGCGATTGACTTCTTAGGATAAGAGGTATAAGAGTTGTGAACTGAGAAGAGAGGGTGTATGAGTGAGTAGAAAGGGTTAGAATTTAATAGGACGTGATGCATTAACATTCAGGGGAAACAGATGAGGATGAGTGATTGAGTCACTAATGAGATTTTGTATCATACTTGTATTTTACACTTATATGTATGAGATCAGGGGCAAATGAGCTGGTGACCTCAAAACACTTCACGTTGTGTGCGTTCCCGTGTCTATGATAGTCAAGTCTCTTTTATGATGAGTACCTCCCTTCGTCTATCACTATTTAAGGATCCTCTAAGGTCTCGAATGGTGGTAGAGGGACGGGCGGGTCAGTGAATGAATGAAAAAACGACAGAAGATTGAATGACCTGATACAGGATTGATCTATGTGTATAATTGGAAATGCCATGCTATGGTATGGGCAAATACCTCTCATGAGGTAGAAGATTGTGTTTTTACAAATGGATTTAAGTAGGATGATTGTTTTGTTGGTTTCAGACAAGCAAAGAGTCGACAAATATTTATTTCATTTTAAATATTGGTTTTTCTTATAATACAAAATGACCCCGAGGTGCGTGCCTCACCGAGCAATGATCAAAGACTTGGAGGGCACAACCCTGAGTGGCAGCCTGGTGATTGCTCATTTTATTTGGAGAATCTCATTTATTTGAAGAATCTCATTTATTTGGAAAATCTCATTTATTTGGTTTACTTAAAAGAAGCATCGTTCATCCACCTCAAGGGTTAACCTGAGGGCATAAATTACCAAGCCTATGGTGAAAATTTGACATCGTTGGGACGTAACTCCCAGCGTGGGCTGCTGACCTAGCATAACCTGGCACCGGACCTTTCGACTATGGACTAGAAGAGGGACTAGAGGGGATGGCCACCCCAGTGAAGGAATCTGTCCAGATGGATGTCGAAGGGGTCGAAATTCGTCTTGAAATCTATTAATTTTGAAAAGATAGGATGAATATCCCATCGTTGCGCAACCAACGAGGGTAACCACCGATAAGCAACAACGTGGTGGGCCGCAGCTCCGCCCTGATCAGCAGGACTGTGGTGGGTCATGATGGAGACCGTTGTCCTCCTGTATTAGACTTTGGGCAGGACAGCAGGCAACTTTGGACAAGTAATATCAAAAGTTGAACAACCAAGGTCTCGGTTAGGACCCGCGTTTGACGGATGAGTTCGTACGCGAACACCAACCCTGAAAACAGCCAACGAATACCTGGGTCAAAAGTCTAAGGGAGTGGGGAGAGGAAAACCGCGTTGTCGTACTTAACTATTTCATATATTGTAGTACGGATCAAGTATCCCCACTTCAAGTCAATCAGTTATTTTACAATGTGGGAGACCCGGATTAGAATCCCAGCACTAGTAATGAAAAGTGAGGTAACGACATCAATCCTGAACCACATCTCATTCCAGGATTCGGATTTGACAAATTGTTTGTCGAAAAACATCTTTTGTTTGCATATAGTTCTACAAGCGACGGAGACGTCGTTTAATAGCGTCTGAGATACTGTCGGACCAAATACCCTTACAAGGGTATTTGGCCATACTTTGCATTCGACACAGTGACGACTTCGGCTACCATGACGGAGCCGGGATGGAGTGGAAAAGGGTGTGCATGCTTTAGCGTGACACTCGAAACAGATTCCTCGGCCAATGAGGCCGGGGCGAATTGGTGATAAAATTTCGAAAGTATGTGCGCGCGTTGTTATAACGCGCGAGTACAATCGGTAGTAATGCCCCGTCGACAGAAGAGGCCGAGGGGTTGATTATGTTAGAGTCTGTGTCAGGCACATCTACGGCGCACACTGAGACTTGGGAATGTTACCTGTCTATCTACCTGTATTGGGTGTCTAAAAAGTGTCAACTTTTGTCTTCTTATGCTCGGCCTCGAGTACCAGGCGGGTCTACCTCTACTTGGTGAGGTACCGACCGCCTGCTAATTGAGTATTTCCGCTGCCGCGAGCCTCTTTTCCCGCCACCTGAGTGCTTTTCCCACTGTAACATTTAATACCACGGTCGTGAGAGAGCACCGGTCCTTCGGGCCGTCTACCCAACCAAGTGCCTTGGTGGGTCGCACACATGTTCAAGCCGACAAGCATACGGATAGGCACGCTGACTTGCAGGCGTGCACACGCACGCAAACTAAGAAAGACAGACCAACTGCGTCTACTTATAGGAAGGCGGGTCCTTAGCATACCGTGGTAAGAGCTAGCCCAGTAGGTAAAGGCGCAGACTGATCGGCAAAGGGTACTGGAATCGAGTCCGACCTGCCTCCGGGCTAGCTCTTTTGCTAGCTACAAGGGGGGCGGGGCCTGCCTTTTCCGCCCGCCCTCAGACAGGCGGGATTCGAACCCACGACCGTACATGTAGGAGCTAGTAGGGTTAGTTCGTTAGTTAGGAACCGAGGGTCGTAGGGCTCCGACACTTGGCAAAGTAGGAGGAAATTGTAGGTTGGATCTAATTAGGTTTATTATTTCTGTTTTCTTATTTTGATTTAAAAAAATATATATTATTTTTTCTTTTACTTTTTGTGTTTTCCCCGACGGCCTACCTGCCCCGAGGTGCCCAAATGATTCCCGCCCCGATACTGGCACATTCACCTAGTAAGGGCCCGCCCGATTGTGGTCGGTAGAACTCCGCCGCAGGGCAATGCAATACGAGCAAGGACTACAGCGGGAGGCAGACGAAGAAAAAACGAGAAGGAGTACGGGGAAGCTGCGCAAAGGGTGATCAGCGATCACAAACAAAATAGAAAGTACCGTCGAGAAAAAGAAAGGCGAAGGGAGGAAGAAGGAAGAAAGGAGGAAGAAGGGAGGAAGGAGGAAGAAGGAGAAGGAGGAGGGAGAAGAAAGAAGGAAGGAGAAAGGAGGAGGAAGAGGAGAAGAGGCGGCAGGTCACATGCTGTAGTGAAAGGAAGAGGAGAAGGAGTTAGAGGAAGGGAAATACGTACCAGACTGGGCGGCAAAAGCTCGTCGACGACAAAGGCTCCGACAAACGACGACATCTAGCGGCGTGACAAAGACGACGACTCGGATATAGGCAAGGAGAGAGAAGGGCTGGTGAGTCTATAACTATGCGGCTTACCTCGGGAATGAATAAAATAAATAAAGAAATAAAGAAATAAATAAATAAAATAATGAATCTACCGCTGAAATGTGGGTATGTACACACACTTTGTGTGTGTGCGTATGTGTGTGTGTGTGTGAGAGAGAGAGAGAGAGAGTTCTTCTTCTTCCTCTTCTAAATCTACCATCTCTTCACGCTCTCTCCATCAGATTTCTCAGTGCCTGCGGACTACGTATGAGAGAGAGAGAGGGAGAGAGAGTTGTGACTCGAGACTTAACGATATTAGATCTAGACTCGACATTGGGATTTAGACACCGGACGGGGATTATTTGGGACCTGTATCACAGACTTGGTATTGATGACATTCCCATATTTCCCTTCCCTCGTTTAACCCTCCTCTTCGCCTGAGTATGGCAAGGGCTGGCGCACCGTCTTGTGTGAGCGCCAGGCCCCTTCACACCATGAAACGATGATGATATACGATGGGGTTGCGCTGCAATTTTGATTGTTCGTATTATTGGTATCTAAGTCTTCCGCTACGCTATCATGTACTTTGTATGAGAGGTCGGTTCTTGTTCTGGTCTGCACCTTCACAATATGCAACAGTGTGTATGTGTGTGTGTGTGTGTGTGTGTGTGTGTGTGCGTATGAGAGAGTGTGAAAGGAGGCATGACTGTCTGCTACGATTACAACCCACCCCGACGTTTCTGCATCAGGTTGGAAAGATAGCTGGTATACATTCTCTATCGTCGCTATTATTATTATTACTGTATTATTATTATTATTACTATTAAATCATTATTATTATTATTATTATTATTATTGATTTTGAACACGTTATAGAAACAAAGAAGAGATGAAGGCTGCTCACATGGCGGTTGATGACGGCAACATTCCCGGCTTGCAAGCGATAGAACGTCGATGCAGCAGCCTCGGCCCCGCGTCTGCTGATGCGAGGGTAGGGGCTTGTAGATATACGGGATGCTTCTGCCCACGACGTTCTGAGGTTGGCCAGTCATCCGCTCAAACATAGAGTTATCGAGGACGGTGGAGATGAGGAGAGAGGTAGAGAACAGGTAAGGCTCCTATCCCGTGGCGGACTCCCTAATGCTTCTATCGATAGAATGAGTAAAATCGGAATGAATCTGCGGCTAGAATATTGAACTGTATGCGGCAATACTTGTTCAATTGCGCGAGTATGAAACGGTAGGGGGCCTCAAGCTACTTTCATCGATAGGATGAGCAAAATCGAATGAATCTACTACTATAGCTTGGGAAATGAACTCCGAGAAGTGCGTGTGTGTGCGTGTGTGAGGGAGGGTGGAACTAGTAAGTAGTGAGTGAGAGAGTAATAGAATGACGAACGATGGAGTAAGGAAATATGACGCAAAGCATGCTGAGGCAGAGCGAGGAGGCAGTTGATTCCGTTATGGAGGAAAGGTGAATGCGGTAAAAGGGAGTAGGTTGCGCAACAGGGTAGTGAGGAAGAAGAAATAACAGAATAGAGGGGC